TGGCAACTACATTGTTAACACTGCTGGCAACTACAATGTTAACACTGCTGGCAACTACAATGTTAACACTGCTGGCAACTACAATGTTAACACTGCTGGCAACTACAATGTTAAAATAGTACAAAAAGAATTTAAAACCACGCAGTGTTTCAAAATTTCATGGTAGACATTGAGTAAAAAGGGTACCCTTTTCCACAATGTCTACCATGAAATTTTGAAACACGTGCGTGGTTTTAAATTCTTTTTGTACTATTTTAAAAATCTTAAATTAAATCTATATTAAATTTACTGTAAAGGCTTCACAGGCTGTCATTTATGATCATCGATAGAAGCATAAAAACATTTTGAAGTCTAAACTTGTGGGAACAGAGACGGATAAACATTAATATATATTATGTGCACGATTAAGTCAAAGATGACGACACGTGACAAGGTGCGTATGTATGCCATCACAACTAAAACCAGACTCCCTAAGAACATACCCACTGCACACCGCCTGATGCAATCCATTCACTGACATACTACATGCAAAGTCTCGGCGTGTCTCATAAACAGCAAACTACCTTGGTTGGTGTCCAGTTAAAAACAAAGAGACAACGACGCCACAAGGCCCATTTCGTTGGGGTCCATCTTTTATTTCATAACCAACTCTCATAGCACGTGTTATAGTTTATGGGGGAATAGAACAGGTTTATCCTATATTATGCCGAGTTTAAACGTCCACACAAACTCACTGACCTACCCTAGCAATCTACCACTAAATGCAGTTCACACGTTTTCACCCAGCTACCGCTCCAACTTAAAATCCCTGCAGCGGTTGTAGACTTATAGTAACCTCGAATCATGCAAAGTTAACACACGTCGACATCGCTAACAACTACTGGTACATGTACAAAGTAAAAAGCACCAGTATAACCACCAGCACCAGTATAACCAGTATAAATTACAGATACAGTGTGTAAATACAAACGTGCGTGATTTGTAACTGTGGTCTTTCACGTGCAATGCTGTTATTAATCAAATCTTATCAATGCGATTTAATGGTTAATGTGGAGAGTTAGTGGTGTGGTGACGATGTGGGCGAGGTGGAGGTCGAGGTACTGTGGGGCCCAAGATAAAATATTGCTTGTTTCCCCTTTTACCGACCGACTCGCCAAAACGCCGCTACTCGACACATTTTATTGGCCGCTTAAAACAAAACAAAAATTATTTCGTTTCGCCAAAAAAAAAAATCAAAATCGTTCCGCAAAACAGAATATACAATATACATACACACATCTTGTCAAAACAAAATAAAAAAGATTTTTCACCTACCTACCTACCCTGAGAGGCGAGTAGGTAAAGGGGAAACAAACAATTTTTTAAGGGTGGCTGCCGGCTGGTGTTGTGGGAGAAGGAACTAGGGTCCCTCACACAAGTGCTGCCACGCCAGCGAGCAGCTGAAAGGAGAGCCAGAAACTAGGACAGACCCAGAGTGAAGAGAAAGGGGGGGGGGGAATAAGGAAGCCCCGCACAGTCGAAAAAAACACTCACACTGTCCAGTTTGTTGCAGATAAGCTTCGCATAGCAGTCCTTTTCACTCTTCTGTGCAACAGTAAATTCCAAGGGCCAGAAATTCACGTGATACACCTGTGATGATGCAAAGTCGCACACAGCAATGTGTTATTAACAGGGTTGGTAATATTGATCTAGTATTACCTGCATAATCGCTATATGTAACGTAGTTATTAGTACCTTTTACACGCGACCTTTACGCGGTCCATAAATGGCTAAACACCGATTCCGCTATTATATTTCCCAGCAGATTGAACACTAAGTGAACACATAGAAATAGCTGGCAGCAATCAGCTACTAAACACTAACTACCGTATATGATCGCGTAATAACCGCAAATTTGGCCTCAGATTTCAACCCTGTATTTGCTCTGCGGTTTATAAGTGCGCCATACTGTGAGGGGAAATATACTAGGCGCAATACTTGGTTACCCGATTCAAATTGAGGTGCGGCTTATAGGCGCCCGCGGTTATTACGCGATCATATACGGTATATATCGTTATGATCGCATCACGTTTATTTTATCTCTCACCTCAATACTCTCGGCACCAAACTTGTCAATGGCATCCTCTTCGCTATAACCACAAGCTCCGTATTCCAGCGGCGTAAACACAGTCGTGGCTACGTTGACGTAGTCCGTCTGAAATGCGTGCAGGTTCGATCGTTTGCCCTTACTACGACGTATACACTTACCTCTACAGCGGTAGAAATTAGTTAGAAAATTTACAGGCCAGTCTGGCCTGTAGGTAAGGGATTTTACAGGCCCGCCAGGCAAACTACAGGCCTGTATCATTCCCCGGATACCGCAGCTTAAAAAAAAACGACTGAAATTTGAAATTTTTACAATGGCTTATTTACCGTAATACAAAGAACATATTCAGTGACTACTAATGAGCTATCAGAATTCTCACTGTCCTCCCTAGTGTCCTCACTCTCTGGACTTTTTAAACTGTTGGATGCACTACAGCAATATAATGAGTCTATAATGATGACTATACGATGATACACGACACGTAATACTCTTATGTGACTGTAATCAGTTTAATTCACTTTCTATAAATCAATCGTGCCAAATACAGCCCCCCTCTCCCGAAGCGGTGGGATTACCTAGGGGCCACTAAAAAGAAAGAAGGTAATTGTGTGTAAGTAATACACAACACTACAATGTCGCACAAGTTCGCCTCTGCTACATCCCCGGTTTCCCCATCTTTTCTGGTAACATTCGGCACCATACTGCACTAATCTAGAATGTATATATAATAATGTAATACTAATATGTAAGTAATAATGAATATATATCAGGTAGATGCCATATAGACGACTAGAAAGCATGAAAAATGAAATTGGAGTCGTGAAAAAATACAATGCCATTCTGCCAAGTGACGCAGCCATGGTGACCCGGTCAACGTTCTGTGTGTGAAATAAGATCCAGAAAATTTGTTGGGAATGGAAGTGTCAATGGCAAAAGTTTCAATTGAAGTTTAGATCAGTGGATTAGATTCAATAGAAACTGTGGTCATTTAGCATGAATAAAGCGTATGTTGTTTATGAACTGAAACTTTCTACATATTTTTTAATAAATTCTGTGTGATGCTTACTCAGGCCTGCTATCCATGGATGCCATCTAATGTTGAAATTTGGATAAAATTATGGAGCCGAGGGGGGCAGTGACCCGAAAATGTTTAGGAACCACAGCTTTGTAAGAAAATATAAACTAAAATATAAAGCTAGATATAATTATATTTATACACGCACGCACGCACGCACGCACGCACGCACGCACGCACGCACGCACGCACACACACCACACGCATAATAACTAGACAGAGGCACGTCAACGAAGAGT